TATAAGCAAAATCAGTGGACGTGTTGTAATTTAATACATGCAGCCCGTTTCTGTCTGTTTGTGAAGGAGCTGCGAGTCTGGCACTCGCCTGGGAACTGGCTGAAAAGGACTACGAGTGATCCGGTGTTTTGATGTCTCGTTCGGTGGAAACACAACCGACAACGAAGAAAGGGGTGGGAAAAGAAGTAGCCTGATTTGTCACCTTCACACATTATAGCTGACAGAAGCGTCACTCCCACAACTTCTCCAATACGCTTCCACTGCGCGCTTTCATGCTCACCAGGAGGCGGCGCGCGGTAGAGGATGTGCCGCAGACTGGAGCTTCAAATCAGTAAAACAGTGCCGGTGTGTCGCTTCGCTCCTCGTAGTGCGGACGCCTTACACTGTATACGTTCATGAATATCACTATGACGGGCACTATTAAAAACAAAACTAGACCCGGATCAGAGCAGCCGTTCTGGCGCTTCAAGGTGTTTCCAATCATTTTAATTTGCCCCCCTCCCTGCTGTTGATTAGTAACACACGTGTTTATAATTTCAGGCCAAAATAGTTACCATAAAATCAGAGTGAATTGCTTCGAAAATTATCTTAAAATGAAAGAAAACACGCCCACGATAAGTTTATTTCTTCACCTGCGGGTGTCTTTGATTCATCTTTCCATTTTAAGGTTTCTGGAGCATCTCGTTGTCCGCAGCTGAAGACAAGCTGTCTCTCTGGTCTAAACGGGGCCCATTAACGGGCCATAGGGGATCAAACAGACACCTATTATCCAGACAGCCATTAACAGGTGAGCAGCACATCAAAGCCACGCGTTCGCAAAGCCTGATCGCGTCTGTGATGTGCAAGAGGATGCCACGCAGGGGGTCGTGTTGTGTCTGCAGAACTCAGGTATAAAATCCCTCTGACATCATGCCTGCTCACTGGATAATCGCCTGGGACTCACTCACGGAAACTTATTTCCCCTTTTAGCTGCGTGCTTCGGACACAATGGCGTGCGGGTTGGATTTTACCAGTGGTAATTTTTCTGAGATCATCACGTTTTTCTCGGAGCAGTTATGGCCTGATGCACTGACTGACAGCAACAACAACGGGTCGGCACAGCGCTCCAGCACGGGTAGGTGGACATTTATTTATATTTGCACATTTAAAATGTGATATAGTTTAAGGCCAAACATCTGTGGGCTGTTGACTCTGCAAATTAATTTCTGCATTAAAATGTAATTGTAAGTTTTAACAAAACGTTTTGCTCTCCCTCTGAAGTGCACCATATTCCATACACTATCAACTCGAAGACAAAGTGCCGCCGGAAGCGCACAATATTCAGCAAGGCGCAGCTGAGCCAGCTGGAGAGGGCCTTCTCTGCTACACCCTACCCGGATATCAATGGGAGGAAAACCCTGGCCACTCTAACTGGACTACCGGAGTCTAAAATTCAGGTAGGACACGTGCGACCTAAGGCTAATTTAGACAACGTACACATGTTTTGTTGACTAAGAGTTTCATGTAATTCTCAATTTTCTTCAGGTTTGGTTTCAAAATCGGCGCGCACGCTTCTTCAAGACCAAGAAATCAACTCGAGGAGCCGCCAAACCTTCACAGGTCAGGCACAAGACACCGTGCAGTCCTCAGGTGGCTTCTCCCCCACCTCCTAGTCCCAGCTTTGCGTCTCCAACAGGCTACCGTGTGCCCAGTCTACCTCAGTCCACCAGGCTCTCGTCAATCCTGGACATCCAGGCCAAGTCACCAGACGTTCCCCAAATCTTTTGCCACCAATCCCAGGACTTCACCAGCTACTGCCAAGACATGTTTCCATACGATGGGCTGGATGAGTTGGATTTACCAGAGGACTTTGAAGCTTTTCTCAATGCACGGGGGGTACAGCCAGCAGAACGTGGCCATCCTGTCCACAAGGAAGACATCCAGAGTCTGCAAGGCCTCCAGGCTCTCTCCAGCTCTATAGAGACCCTGGCCGACCTGTCGGATCTGTGCTTCCAGGACCTGATGGTCCCCAGTCTGCCCAGCTTGGACAGCTCAATGATTGACTATCTTTTGGCATGACTGACAAAACGGAGAGCAACATATTGAAGACCACGACATGAATGGGTCCACGTGCAACAACACGTCCGTTTGTGTAACAGCTACGAGCCAGCCTACAGCAGGAAGTCTGCTACATCAGTGTATCCGTTCTCACACCCATACGTCCACGCTGTGTCGCCAGTTGCCGTGATGGTCTCCACTAGTGTACCCATTCAGTGACGTCGCGGTCTTTCAAAGTGTTGCGCTAACATTTTTTTGGACAAAGGTGCCGAGTCTACCTTGGGGAGGTGGTAACTGTGACTTATGCTATTCGTTATCTATTTAAGAAACACCAGTATGATGCACATCAGATGATTTCACATGTCCTTTTTGCTTTTTATTATTATTTTTGCACATAGTTTGTTTTGAATGGGGTTGCAAAGATAACATTTAGCACTTGACTCAAAGCTGTCCTTTCTGAGTGGGCTTCAGCGGGAAAAAGTAAATGAGACACACTTGTTTCTAACTGAAACTCGGTACCCGAGTTATGTTACAAGGTATGCCAACTGTTGTGACGGGGAAATGGGACACGAATGACCAGATCGCCTTTTTGGGGCGGGTATATTTCACGATTTTCATGGCAGGCCGTGGAGATCTGTAATGTAAATAAAATGCATATTACTATTAACATAATGTTATGTACATATCATATATTTTACTAATAAATGTATCCTGAACGAGTCTCTCAGATTGTGTTATCATTCATAAACTCTTCTCGAGGTCAGGAATCACGTGGCGCCGTGGCTTAGTTGGTTAAAGCGCCTGTCTAGTAAACAGGAGATCCTGGGTTCGAATCCCAGCGGTGCCTTTTGTTTTCTGTTTTGATGAAAGTAGACTTTTAAACACTCCCATAACATTAAATGTTGCGACACTGACGCAAATCAATTTCTATTCATTTTTAAACAACCTCAAGGGAGTGTGTATTTTTCTTTTTTTTCCCCACTGTTGCACAGTTCGATAATATCAGGTTATGTTAAAAACATCTGCAGTGGTTTATAAATCACTTAAACCTTAATACAAATTTCCTAATGCCTTTTCAAAGTTGTAACACAGCTTTTTATTGTATTTATTTTGATCTATTTTCCCTTGTTCCGGCCTATTGCCCAACAGAGGGCGCTCTTTTTTCCCTTTTTCTTTTTTTGTACAACTGTACCAGTTACCTGAAGAGGTCAGCACAGGATTACGGCAGCCTCTTGTAGGGATACTCATGAATTCACTGAACAGAGGCCTGTATGTCTGCGCGCATATTCAGTTGTATGTTGCATTTGTAAAAAAAGGGTCAGGATACCCCAAAAGGTTGATTAAGTCCCTCTAGATACAGCATTTTCAGGGGGAGGAAGGTTTCCCTAAGCTTATAAACATTACATCTACCCTAATTTATGTGTAAAAGGAACCGCAACTGAACCAAGGAGTAAATCTTTCACCATCTTCTAACTCTGTAAATGAGTTATTTGCACAACTTTATTGACACTTGAAGTTATTTTATATATATATATATATATTAGCTATGGTGTTATTTTAGGTCAGTATGAAACTGTGAAACTGTAGTCTTTAAAAGATTGAGCAAATCTGCTGTAAGCTAAGATGGATGAGTGGTGAAACATTTCTCCCACTGATAACGCTGATAAAGGCTCGGTGTTGAGGTTGGGCATGTAGACATGATGCATGGCTACAGATCACATTAGGTGTGTGTGTGTAATCTCTGCCATGTGGTCAAAAATATCAAAGCACTCAAGCACTGAAATGTAAAGTTTATTAATTTTGAATAATTTCAGTGTATCCACCTAAGAGGCCATTGGAGAGGTGTCTATCCTGAACTACATGCAAGGGTCAAAGGTGTTGTCATCATTAGCCCCATATGGTAATAGTCAAGACAAGTATTTATCTCTTTTCTGCCCTTGATGCATCAGGAGCAGCAGCTTCATGCTCGCAGCCCAGCCAGTACTTTGCGATAGATCGAGGATAGGGAGGGTAAGCGGCATCCACACGTTTTGTCTGCAAATCCACTCTGTAGTACTTATCTGATATTAAAAACAAAAAGGAAACACACAAACCAAAAGGTGTTAAGGAAGAATAAAGAGCTGTTTTTGGAAGGATTTTGACTCATTTTTGTTTCAGTCTGATTTACCCTTCTTGAAGAAGTACACATTTTGAACGGGGGTGCTTTGGTACTCCTGCATGATGGTCTCTTCAGAGCTGTCACTGTAATCACCGAGGTCGAACAAATCATAGAACCAAAAGTCATCGTGGCGACTCTGCCTTCTTCGCTGTCCACGCCTCTTACTGGGCCTCTTCCTCCGACTCTTCCACTTCTTTGCGGTCGGAGGTGAAGTTGGCTTGGGAGTGGTGTAGACTCGTCCCACTATGGCAGCATCTATAACGGGCCTAATACCCCGCCAATCCCTGCTGATGAACCGAGGGTCTGTTTGGGAACTGGTAACTGCTAAAATACAAAAGTCATGCAGATGGAGAATAAGAAAAAAAAATCTGAAACATACAAGCATAAAGAGACCAAAGTCCTTACAGGATCCTCCAAAGAGCTCAGTGAAGAGATCCTCCCATGCGTTATCGCAGAAGAGGTCTGTGTATTGTGTGAACAGCACAGAAGGGGAGGACCTGCTCATCTGGATGCACTCCTCGTGGGAAGGCTGGTGCTTGAACTCATATTGGTAATACCGGTCCCCTGAAGAAAAGAGAAAAATCAGATTTCAGGATTTTACTCGATGAGAGAGAAACAGTGAAACTGTCCGTGGAGTTGCCGATACATTTTTAATGATATACAAATGCAGATAAAACCTTGCCATCTGCATTTGCTTCCATCAGATTCTGTAACTCTAACTCTTTGCTTTGCCTCTGACTGCTTTTATTGAAAACCTTAACCTCTGTGCTCCACACCAGAAAGCCTGGGTGTCCTCAGACTGCTCTTTATAACCTGCTCATCTTTACAACTTGCCGTGAAATGATCATGCAAGGAAATTGTAGAAGTGTAGGTGAAGTGTAGAAGGAAAAGCACCAAATGTTACAAGTGAAGACACTGCATTAAAATAATAAACGAATATAGCAGTGCTCTGTTTGAAGTCATCACTTTAAGGGTAAGTTTGAGGGTAACTTTATCTAGTACAGACAAAATAACTTGACTTTCAGATAAATGTGGTGGGTTAAACATTTCCTAAAAATGTAAAATATTTACAATATAAGTAAGTACGTATTCAGCTCCTTAACTAATTATTAACAAAATGAAGCAACCCTCCTCCCCCCACAAAAAAACATGAAAACAACTTTGTTTATTAATTTGCTTGTTTTGTGTGATAGCGTGCTACTTCCCTATTCTTGCAAAAGCCATTATATATTCACATGCAAAGTCATCTTCCTTAGTTTTATCAGATCACGAGCAACACTTAGAAACCCCTGCTGTACTTGTATATCATAAGAAACATTATCACCCATTAGTACAAATACCTTTGAAGAAGTGGGCCTTCTCCTTGCCACGGTGACTTGGTGCTGGTATGGCAAACGCAGCATCGATCTCATCTGGTATGCCATCAAAGCCGTTTGAAATAAGCCGTGGATAGTCCTCATCCAGGACGTCACCATCAAATCTCCAGTATTGGTTCCCCTGAGAGAAAATGGAGCCCAGAGCATTGAAGTTTGAGGATACCGCTGCGAGGGAGTGTTAATGAGGGCAACAGACTACTCTCCCTAAAGAAGGTTTGAAGTCTGAAACATTCCTAATCATCATCTTCTTCTTCCTTTTAGGGGTCGCTGCAAACATCTCAGTCAATCCTCTGTCCCACCAATCATCTGCACATCCTCTATAACTACATCCAGTAATTTCCTGCCTTAAAGCTCCATCTTCACCATCTTCCACTATCCCCCCGCCGCACATGTCCAAACCAACTCAGCCTTGCCTCTCCAACTGCCTCTGATATACTCATTTCACCATTGCCTCCAAACCATATATCACAGCAGGTCTCATCTTGTAAACATTCCCTCTTTCTCATGCTGCTACACTTCAGTCACAAATCACCCCTGACACTCATCTCCACCCACTCCACCCTGCCACCTTGTCTCTTCTTTACCTCTATTGTGCACCGTCTTTTACTTTTGATTGTTGACTCCAGGCACTTAAATCTCCTCTCATTCACACACATATTTCGTCTTGCTTCTACTGACTTTAATTCATCTTCATACCGCCACCTGCTCTCTACTCTCACTATAGATCACAATCTCATCTGCATAGAGTCCATAGAGACGCCTGCCTGACCTCATCTGTCAGCCTGTGGATCCCCCCTGCAAACAAGAAGAGGCCCAGAGCTCATCCCTAATATAAAATACTGCTAATACTTTGCATAATTAAAAACTTTTGTTAGTTAGTTGAGAAGAACACCGCTTTCTCTCCACGTTTCTTATGTTTTTTTTTGTAAGGTTACTCCATTTTATCCAGCTGAAGACCACTGGCAGGGTATAGCAAGAAAAAAATGCACAATTCTTCTTCATATGCACTGTACAAATAACCGAATCAATAAGGTCACACATCAATATTATGAGTAATGAAGCGACACCATTTTCTAGCAACACTCATGCCAGTGTGGGGCTGAAGAGCTTTATTTCTGCCATAATGTTGGATAGTGTATTTGATCTGAATTATTGCACGCAACAGAGTCACTGTTTGAGTATTTCACAGTTACAGAGAAACGGTTTAAAACAATGGCTTTTACAACTGTAGGGACTCATTTTGAATTTTCAGAGGCTTAAAAGAATAAACAATAAATGTAGCTCAATTAAACCTGAAAACGCATGCACACCACCAAAAAAACACACACACATTTGTATGAGGTGGAGCCTTTTGTGTACCTCATCACAAAGAAATATGGCAGCTTATACCTTAAAGATGTAGGATTTCCCCTGGCAGTTGATGCGTGTGAATGCAGCACCGATGGGTCCACTGATTCCCCAAACGTCCTCGATGAGTTTGGGGTAACCAGGAAGGATGGACTTATCATCCAGCTCAAAGAAATATACACCTACGAGGAAGAGCAGACTCTGGATCAGTGTTTACATCAGCATTCAAAGAGTTTCAAATCTTGCAGCAGGATAATCCACAAAGTTTCCACGAATGTGTACTCAAGTCTGATTTTGGGTCTATGTTCAAAATCCTGCAAATATGTATTCATTTATCGTTTACTTTTTAAAGAAACACATTCTGTTTTCATTGAGCAAAAGCTCCTTCAGCATTTAAGTTCCTCAAACAATTATTATCATTTTTATTTTAATTTTGGATGAAATTGAAAAGCCTTTGCCTCCTTTTCTTTAATGTTTGGATCTTTTAAGGTATGAGACATTATTAACATTCGTTTTTAACATAATTTACACTTTTAGGCTTCTGATTATAACTTTCTCCTCTCTGTATTGGAATAAACAGCATTGCTGAATAATTGAGGAAATTAAAAAGAGCTGTGAAATTTAAAAGAGAGACATTACACAATGGCAACAAAGTAACAAAAGTAAAAGTAGAAATAAACTGTTTTATATAATAGAAATCCTGTTATGTGATCAGGATTACCTCTAAAAGCGTAGATTGATCCATTTTTCAGCTGCAGAAAAGCATCAAATGCCCGCCCACTGCAGGGCACGGCATCAGGATCCAGCGGTAGTAGTGTGGGCCCCTGTGTGACGTTGGGTGTGACAGTCGGTATAACCGTGTCTGAGGTTGGCATAAAAGTTGCTGTGCTCGGGCTCAGGCTCGGGCTCGGGCTCAGGCTCGGGCTCGGGCTCGTCTCTTCCAGTGGTTCCTCAAAGACATCGCCTCGAGAAACTGAAGGTAGAACATGAGGTTTTGTCAGATGGTGACGTTTCAAAGGAGAAGAAAATTCAAACTGACTCTTTAGTGAAACTGTCACACAGCACAGCACTGACCTTTTCTGGGGCAGATGGTGTAAAAGTCCTCACAGCAGCTTCCATAATACACACACATGGAGTCACACTGACATTTGCTCTGTGGGCTGAAGGAGCCGCAGCGACCTACACAGGACTCTGTGGGAAAGTAGTTTTAGTGTGAGATATCATGCAGCGTGTAGACCTGGTCTGAGTTTACCATTCAATAATCAGTGAAACCAGAAGTAATCAGACCCTTTACTCGTTTAAACACACCAGCTGTAAAACCATCCAGATGAATTATCAGAAAGATACGATATAAAGTTAGGATTAGATTCTTCCTAATTCATCACTAAATAAAATATTTCACATTGTCAACGTTTGAAATATTTACAGTTATTTACCAAGGTGAACTGAATTTGAAGAATTGGGACACGAATAAGAGGGAAGAACAAAATTGTGTTTTGGGTTCAAAGAGTCATTGAAATCAATTCATTTATATATTTAAAGGGGAAAATGTGTAAAACGCGAGTTACAGTTACTAAAACCATGTTCCCACCTATCAGCCTATGACAGGGATTCTTTCATTGATTATGGTGTGGAATAGTGGATGCTATAAATAGTCCCTGCTAGCTCAGGCTGCTCTATTTCTACCATTTTTTCACTCTTGGCTCTGTGTGATGTCACACAGCTCTGGCTTATAGTACAAAAGCTCGATTCACCTCCCCGTTCAAACCTTCTGTATGCATAAGGCAGCCAATTGGAAGAAAGATGAATTAAATAAAGGGAGAGGAGCATGTTTCAGAGGGAGGATAAACTGGAAGTCTGAGATAAAGAAGGATATTTTAAAATTGAGTCATTCAAAGCATTTTCAGTAGAGTCCAAGAATAAAAAGATTTAATTAGAAATTAAAACAATAAAACAAACCTCTAAGAAAACACCAGGATAAACTATTAATATACACTATACTGCCAAAAGTATGTCCCATCTTGCATGGCAGCTGCATCCAAGCCTTACATCACCAAACGTAGTTTAAACCACGCCCCCACTCGATCTAGAGAAGTGGAGATGTGTTCTCCAAAGTGATGAATCATCCTTCTCATTCTGGTGGACGAATCTGGGTTTGGTGGTTGCTAGGAGAACGGTATGTGTCTGCATTGTGTCAAATGTAAAGTTTGGTGGAGAGGGGATTATGGTGTGACGGTTGTTTTTCAGGCGTTGTGCTCAGCTCCTTAGTTCCAGTCAAAGTAACTCTTAAGGCTTCAGCTCACTAAGACATTTTGGATATTTTTCATGCTTCGGGATGGCCCCTTTCTGTTCCAACATGACTGCGCGCCAGTGCACAAAGCAAGATCCATAAAGACATGGATGTGTGAGCTTGGTGTGGAAGAACTCGACTGGCCTGCACAGAGTCCTGAATTCAACCCAGGCCGTGTCATCCAACATCAGTGCCTGACCTGACAAATGTGCTTGTGGAAGAATGCTCAAAAATCCCCATAAACACTGCTAACATTGTGGAAAGCCTTCCCAGAAGAGTTGAAGATATTATAGCTGCAGAGGGTGGAGCGACATCATAATAAACCACATGGATTAGGAATGGGATGCCTCTCAAGTTCATATATGTGTGAAGGCAATGAGCAAATGTTTTTGACAATATGGTGCATTTTGTTTCATACATCAATAGCTACACATCAAAGTCAAGATATTATACAAAACTTAAAAATATGATCTATCGTGTCTAATAATTACAACTGCTATCAACAATAATACAAACTGCACATCAAAAATGTTAAAGTTTTACCTTCTGCAGCAAATGCGGTGTCCAACAAGAGGACGAGGCCCAGCAGAACTACCGCTGGCTTCATGTCGGCTCACAGCAAAAATCCCCCAAACTAAAACTCTGAAGGTGTACTATTCTAAAATCCTGCTTACTAACCTAAACCACTAGCTGGGTTTGAGCTCGGTGCCCCACTTTGGGGTTTAGTACTGTGTGCAGCTGATCAATAGATATTTTTTAGAGGCTGTTGACCCCGCAGGCTTCTGCTGTCCTGACTGGTCAATACTCTGATAATCATTAAGCTGATCTCTGTCCCATCTGTCCTAGAAACATGCTACAGACCAGAAACATGAACACTTTATGGCTTTAATTTGATGTTATTTAGTAAACCTATCACCCAGTATAATTTTATAATGACTTTAATTTACTTTATGAAAATGTTATTAATTATAGGTTTAGCTGGATGCTTCTCAATATGAAAATGGTTAAAACACAGAATTACAAACTCAACTACAAACTGAAGGTGTCTCTTGAGTCATAAAGTAAGTGTGTGCACTGTATTTTTAATTTCCGGGCAAATTTAGGATAATATCTAAGCTCAAACATTGTAACATGAGGCCTGTCTTTGTTCTCTATTGATCCTTAAACACACACACTGACTTTTTCCCCCCAATTAAGCCCTGAGAAGAAGAAAAAATGCAGGTGAAACCTGTGGATTCCCTCCTTTCCAGTTTGGATTATGACCAAAAGATGGGAGTTGATGACTAAATTCAACACCATGGAACAAGGCAGTCAGCTTGCAGACAGATTAGAGCAATATTAATGCTTCCTTATCGCTAGCCTTGAAGTTTCCAGGTATTTGTTAAACATTAAAAGATTTGAAAGGAGTTTTAAAAAATTGTTTTTTCTTTAAGGTTTAAAAGGAACAAAGTCGCAGCTGAAGAAAGTTGGTAATTTAGGTCAAGATTTAAACTGCCCAAACAATAAGGGAATCCACGGATTTAGGAATGTACTCATCTTTCATGCAGTGCAGCAAAAACAGTCCATGTGTGGACTTTGATTATCAGTGAAGCTTTTATCACTTGGCAGTTCTTATGTTGCTCTTGAGTCCAATTAACAAGATCACTAAGCAAATCTGAAAAACCACAGAAAGTGTGCCGAATCTAATCCACAAAGATCTATTTCGGGATCTAGCAGCAAAGTGTTGGACTGCCTGCTGACTTTTCTACTTCCTTTGATGTAGTGCAACTCCATGAGCCTGATTGAAAAGCCTGCAGCCAGTCTGACAGAAAACAGCCTCCCGGAGTTTGTCATGACAAAAAAA